CAGGTCTGATCATGTCTTGATAAGACCTGACGTATCCTAATGAGGGGACTGGATGACCAGATCCTGATAAAGCCCTAGGCTTTACCACATCCTGACAAGAGCCCTGCTCTCAAATTCCCAATCAAACTACCACACTCTCGCAATCTCCTTAACAGCCTCTAAAAATGACATTTATTTTGTCTGCCTGCATGTAATTCTGATCTTCTCTCTCTCAGCTCTTCTTTTATCTAACAAAATCCTTCAAATCTTTTTTTAGAATATATGAAAGAAAGCAAGCAAACAATAAAATATCCATTGAAATAAATAAGGCTAATAACAATTGAGGAACCCTAAGGAAGTTGCTACTGAGAGTTGGATAGTAATTAAGTCTGAAAGAAGAAGGATTGATGCCTTTGAACTGTAGTATTAGAGAAAAGTACTGAGATCCCATGGACATCCAAAAGAAAAATCAGATACGTTTTGACAGGCAGGGTAGCTGCCTCACCGTCTTCTAGAGCAGTGACTTCAGATCAAGAACCTATCACTGCCTCATCACAGCAATGTAACGTAAGAATCGAGCTACCTCAAACGGTACACAAGTGCAAAGCAAGATGTCACCCCCAACAAGTGACACAGAATCATTGGATTTCCTGAAGTGGTAAAGTCTGATGGAACTCTCTAAGGGTATTTCAACATAAGGAAAACAATAAAAGTAATTCATCACATCGAAAAAGCAAGGAACAAGAACCACATGATCCTCCATAATTGATGCAGAAAGGGCCTTTGACAAAATCCAACATGCTTTCCTGTTTAAAACATTCAACAAAATAGGATTAGAGGGATATTTCTTCAACATAGTAAAAAGTATATATGTAGCCTTTTGCGCTCTCCACACATGTGGGAAGGCAGCTATGGACATTGGACAGCTGCAGTCCCAGGATGACTTGGAAATAGTACAGCACTCCTGAAAAGAGGGGATGGTAACAGGCAACCTATGCATATAATTCTCAGGTGGTGTGACCTGAGTGAGAGACCCAACTCCATCAGGACCTGAGATGCCTGGCAGCTCTGTGACATGAAGTAATATCTGACTGGTACAAGAGGAGATTGTGACTCCTTTTCCAGCAGAGCATCTGGTGGATTCCAACCGCGCACCTCTGGGATTGCAGTGTATCTTCTTGCCACTAGGCTACCAGAGGTCATGCAACATTTTCATGTAAGACTTAACTCTTCATATACTTAAGGAATATACACAAGCTATGTGTTGTTAAAATTGAAACACAATTTCTCTGCTATTGATTACGCTAGTGATCAACATAATGCACAGCTCAGAACTTTGCCACCGATGCACTTTTTTTTTTTATTACACAACACCTGTTGAAAAGCAAGAGTCGGGTCACTTTATGTTTAGATTATGAGCTATTTGGCTTCTGTTGAAACTACTCACCTTTGCATTTGTAGCATGAAATCAGACCTAGACATTATAACAATAATTGTATGACTGTGTTCCAATAAAAACTTTATGGTGGACACTGAAATTGGAATTGTATAGTGTTCGGTGTCCTAAGATAATTCTCTTCCAACTGAACTATTTACAAATGGGGACACTATTTTTGGCTCTGCAGCCATTCAAAAACAGGTGACAGGCTACAATTACCCTTTGGATGTAAGTTGCTGATCACTGTTCTAAAAAAAATGACATTTGGGCCTTGAAATTGATTTAACAAAGTTGAAATACCTTTATTCGTATGTGTTGAGGAGTTGGTTTGTGTGTAGTACTTTCCCCCCCACTCTACCCTAATGCTTTTCTTTTTAATGTGCAACTAACGGAGAAGTCTGGAACTAAGGAAGAACAGTGGTTTTCGATTATTGGTGGAGTTGGTTGTTGACTTGTTTTTATTGTTTTGTGATGTTGGGACTTTTTTAAGTTTTTTTCTTTTTAAGCAAACAAATTTATTCCAGGTGAGTTTAATCTTTTCCTGTGCTGCAAATGGCCTTAAGCTGGCTGGTTGCTATTCTGTAAAATACCCAAACAATATTTTGCCATAGATTTTACTAGTAAATTTAAGTGCTCTCTTTAGGTCGTAGACCTATATATACCATAATAAAAGTAGAAAGGTTAAAGGGAAGCACGGGATCATAATTATTTAGACCTTTTCCTGACATCAATGTTAATTCCCTTTTATAATACTGAAATAAAATACTGTCACTGGGGGGAAAAAAGTATATATGCAAACCCAAGAGCCAACATTGTTCTCAATGGAGAGAGAGAAAAGACATTTCCTTTGAGAACAGGAACTAGGCAAGGATGCCCACTATGACCTCTCCTATTCGTTATTGTATTGGAAGTCTTAGGAATAACAATAAGACAAGACAAGGAAATAAGAGGTATCCAAATTGGCAAAGAGGAGGTTAAAATATTTTTATATGGAGATGATATGGTAGTATACCTAGAAATCATAAAAAGTCAGCAAGAAAATTACTGGACATAGTTGACCAATTCAGCAAAGTGGCAGGATACAAGATCACCATATAAAAATCAACTGACACCACAATAAGATAAAGGTAAACAACTCAATTGAAAAGTGGGCACAAGATATGAACAGATACTTCACCAAGAAGATATTCAAGTGGCAAACAAATGTTCAAAATCCTTAGCTCTGAGATACAAATCAAAACAACTATAAGATGAATTAATATACAAAATGGGTGACCTTGGAGGATGTTATGCTGAGTGAAATATCTCAATCACAAAAGGGAAAATACTTCATAATGCCACTGTTGTAAAGCGGGACTGGCATTAGGGTTGGGGGTAAATTAAGAAAAGAGGGGATAAATAATATACACTGCATTGAAACATATGAGGGAAAGAACTGTTTAGGAGTAATATATAATTAGGTATTATTGTTATGACAAGAGTCCTGAATGAAAACTGCATAATGGAGTTACTGGGTGTGGTTGTATAACAATGAAAGAATTATCGGGGGTTTTTTGTGGTTTGTTTGTTTGTTTGTTTTTAACTTTTCAAAAAGAAAAGTAAGCCTGGATAGGAGAGGTGGACAGGGAGGAAAATGTGCAACAATGAATGAGTGGAATTCACAGTCTCTGTAAACTTTCATTAAAATTAATAAGAGAAAAAAAGCACTCTGTGCCAGAGTGCTCCTTAGAGGTAAATTGATAAAGCTCCATATCACGTACTTTGGTCATATAGGACAGGCTATTTCTTAGTAGGGGATATCATGTATAAAAGGGTGGAGGGCCAGTGAATAAAAGAAAGATCCTCAACTATCTGGATAGACAGAGTACAGCAATAGACTGTAGAGTGTCAGAGATGATAAGGATGGTACAGGATAGGACAGGTTTTACATCTGTTGTTCATAGGGATTCTATGAGTCATACTGGACTAAACACCACCCAACAATAACAAGGGGTAAGGAGCATATCAAATAATCCGATAGCCCTCCAAATGAGATCAGTCTCCTCCATTGTTGTTGAATCAGAACTAACTCATAGCTGACCCTCCAGCAGGTTTTCAGAGGCTGCAAGTCACATAGGGAAAAGATTATGTATCTTTCTCCTGCTGAGGCACTGGTGGATTGAAATGATCAGAAAAGGGTCAGTTTGGAGTTATCAGAACAACTCCCAAAGAAATAACATCCTGCCCCAAGATGAATGAGTTTATATTCACTTTATTTTTATAGTTGAAAGGAATGAATGACTTTACGTCTGTGTTAAAGTCATTCAACAGACTTTGAGTCTGATTATAATTCCCCAACCCTTTGATTTTCAAACTGACATCCTTTCTCCTCCATGCTATATAGCAAATCGTTGGCCTCAGGTTGATATTTCTGGAACAGTGATCAGTACTAACATAGGGTATTATTATTGTTGTTGTTAGTGTCATCAAGTCAACTGCAATTCATAGCTACTCTTTTAATAACAGATCGGAACTTTGCCTTTTCTTATGCTATCTTCACAACATGTTCAAACTCATAATTACGGTCACTGTGTCAATGCATCTTTTTTAAGGCCTTACGATATTTCTCTCATCCTTTGTCAGCACGATATCCCTCCCAAAAAAATGCCCAAAGTGAGACAAAGTTTCTTTATTCTTTTCTTTAAGGAGCACCCACTCCAACTGGTTGCACTTCCTCTAAGACAGCCTTGTTTATCCTTTTGGTAGGCCATGAGATATTCAGTACTCTTCTCCAATACCACAATTCAAAAGCATTGATTCTACTTCTGTCAGTCTTATATATTGTCCAACTTTCAGATGTTTAAGAAGTAACTGAAGAGCAGTCTTCAAATTCCTGGAGACCACGTTCTAACCAGTCAACCTCAAGTGGTATGGAGGTAGTATGTGGTGGTAAGTGGACTATTCCTGCTCAATTCTTTTCAGTCTTAAAAGCACATATCTCAGATATAGTAATTTTGTTTAGCATTTACTTTCATGACTACACAAAATCTCTAGAGTCCATGAGAATTTGAAATTATTTCCTGCATTTTCACTTTTGGATCAGGATTCTTCTTTAGATTCTTGGACCAAAATGCTCACTATTGATAGCTGCCCCCGGCAGTTCTGATCTCATGACAAAGGAAGCAGTTGTTCCAGGAGGACACATTCTATTTCTGACTCTCCTTTTTTGGTCTATCTCTGAAGACCTGATCTTTTTACCTTTACTGGACTTGTCAACTTTCTCTCAGTAAACACACAAATATGCATTATCTCATCCTCTTCATAAATATGAAAGTCATTTTCTAGAGATTCTCTTGTGCAAATTGAGAAAGTCAAGGGAAATTGCTGATGAAGTTTGTGTCATTTTCACATTGAATTTTGGTGAATGTTCTTTATGTCATTCAAATACGTAAAAGGAACTGCACTCAGATGTACATAAACATGAGTCACCAAATACACATCATGATCTTAGGCATTGTCATTCTATATAAGTCCTGTCACTAGAAAGTAGAGAGAAAAGGGCAATAAAGAGAGAAGGTGGCTTCTTTTAGCAAAGACAATGAGTATGAAGAATCTTATGATCTGTGTGCTATTATGTCTACCAGCTTGCTTGGCTTACCCACTGGACAAGACAGTGAAGGAAGAACCAAATGCCGACTTTGTCCAGGTAATTAATGATAGAAACTATGACAACTATGACCAGCCCAAGCGCAGAAGTAAATGTGCTCATTTGACTTTCCAACACAAAGTAGAGTGTTTTGAGTTTAGAACTTATTGTGTTGGGGTGACTTAAGATCAGATAATAAATAGTAAAGTCCTAGAAGTCAGAAGTTTTTTATCTTAGCAGAGAAGGATAAAGAAATTGAGGAAGAAGATAAAATTTCTCAAGATGATTATAAAATCACCTAGCAACAATGACACCACCAACAAGATAAAATAATGAAAATAGAAGTCTTAATGAAATATCGGATATAGTGTGCTATTTACTTTTATTTCAATGATAGAATAATTAAAGCATAATATGAACTTGGAGCAAATTTAGACAGCTATATAATTACTTGAAATCTATGTTTTTTATTCTATTAGAAATACCTTGAAAATTATTATAATCTTGGAAATGATACAAAACAATCTGTGAGAAGAAATGACAGCAATGCTGTGGTTAAAAAAATTCAGGAAATGCAAAAATCTCCTGGGTTGAAGGTGATGAAGAAGCAGGACTTTGATGTCCTAAAAGGGAGGTTTAGACCCATATGTGCAGACACCATTGCTGGTCACTACTCTAGATTTCCTGGCTCACCCAAGTGGAAGAAAAGTAACATTACTTACAGGTAATGGCTCCACAGATGTCCTTACATAAGGTGAAATCATTAAAGTTACTGTCACAAAAGAACATGTTCTCTCTTTTTTTTTTACAGAATTGTGAACTATATACCGCAACTCTCAATAGAAGCTACTGATTCCGCCATTGAGAAAGCTTTGAAACTCTGGGAAGAGGTGACTCCTCTCACGTTCACCAGGCTTTATGATGGAGAGGCTGACATAATGATGTATTTTATCAGGAGAGGTAAAAAAAGTAACAAAAATTGAAATAATTTAAAAAATATAAGTACACATTTATCAGATGTTATTCTAATATAAAATAGCAAAAAGAAATTCTAATTACTTGTCTTTCCAATATAAAAAAAAAAACGCCTGTTAGATCATATAGAAATTGCGTATTTTGGTGGGTCTTCAATTGCTGTGGCCTTTCCACCTGGACCAGGAATAAATGGAGACATTCATTTTTATGATGATGAACCATGGACAGAGGATTATTCAGGTGAGTCATAAATCTCTCAGGTTAATTTCAGAAATAATCCTCAGCTCTTTCTAGAAAGAATTTAAAAATGAGTAGGAAAGGAAATGTCTTAAGTAATTGATACTTATGATTTGAGTGCAAACCTGAAGAACCCTTTATTCCAATACTTGTTTAAATAAATTCTATTACTAATTTTATTAAGACTCTTTAAAATATAAAGAAAAGTTGAATCCAGCGATCTTTATGTTTCCAAAAACAGTTATGAGTCATGTGTCTATTTGACGTGTACATCAAATTATACCTACTACAGAGAGATTTTGCCTACCAATAATTATTTCAGTTTGATGAAGATCAGATCGAACAATTTGGGTTAAGTCTATTGGAAATAGCAGTTTTGTAGCTAAGAGTTTGAACAATAGTCTGAATTCTTACTGGCCGATGAGTCACTGCCGAACTGTTGGTCTCTATGCATCTGGAGCATAAGAGGGGATAAAAAAAAAAGGCAATCAAAGACTCAAAGCAGAATCCAGTCTACAAAACAAACAGTGTACACAAGCCATAGCCTTATATATTCTGAGATGAGCTAGTTGGTGCTGATTACCACTGCTGACTGCTGTAGATAGGACCACAATTGACGGAGCATGAGAGAATGAGAGGAGGGTGTGGAACAGAACTTTAAATCCCTAAAAACAGATAAGTAGACTTACTGGCTTGTTCAGTGTGGGACTGCCTGAAATTATTGTCTTGAGATATTCTTCAAATCTTGAACTAAAATCAACTCCCGAGATCATCTGATAGACAACAGGTTATCGTTGTGATGCACCATTGAGTCAGAACTGACCCGTACCTGACCCTCCAGCAGACTTTCAGAGACAGAAAATCACAAGGGAAGAGATTGTCCATACTTCTGCAGAGCAGCTGGTGCGTTGGAACTATGTGCCTTTGAGATTGCAGTATAGCTCAATCATAGCTTTAGGCCACCAATTGTCCTAAAATAATTACCTATATGACTAAGGAAAACTCTGGTGGCAAGAAGCTGTGTTGCAATATTAAAGGCACGTGATTTAACCACCAGTTTCTCTGAGGGGGAAGGATGGGCAACCTCTTCCTGTGCCATTAACTGTCCCTGAAAACCCATCAAAAGGTCAGCTACAGGTCAATACCAATTATATGGTGCACAATACTAATGTATGAATGAAATGGTCAACAATTAATTTAAAATACAGGAGGCTGTAATGATACAGAAAAGCTGGGTTTATGGAAATTAAACAACCATATTGGAAATAATGAGAATGAGAATGTTTGTACATTGTTGAGATTGTAACCATTGTCACTACACAATTTGGGTAGAATTTGCTGAATAGGAACTAGAATGCTGTGGTACCCTTTATGAAAAGCAGGGAAGAATATTGTCTTTAAAAAAACAGTTTGAGGAATAACTCAAATATTGTATGAGTAATGTCAGTTGAACTCATCATGAGTTGTTGTTGTGGTTAGGTGCCGTCGAGTCGAGTATAACTGATAGTGACCCCACGAACAACAGATTTTAATCCTTTCCTATTATCTGCATTGCTCACCCTTCCTGACCACTAGGGTCCATTGCAACAGTCACTGTCAATCCATCTCTTTGAGAGTCGTTTCTTTGCAAACTCCCTACTCTTCTGAGTATTATGTCCCTATCCAAGGAATTTTCCCTCCTAGTAACATACCCATAGTATGTGAGGTGAAACTTTATCACCTTTGCCTCCGAAGAGCACTTTGGCTGCACCTTCTCCAAGACATATTTGTTTGTTATGTTAACAGTCAATAGGATCTTCACTTATCTTCTTCAACATCACAGCTCAAAGGCATGAATTTTCTTCTGTCATACTTATTCATTGTTCAGCTTCCTGGTGCATAGCAAGTTACAGAAAGACAATGGCCTGAATCAGATGAATCTTTGTTCTCAAAGTGACATCATCGCTCTGTAATAATTTGGAGAGGTCCCTAACTGTAGATACTCCCAGTACAATACATCTCCTGATTTCCTGCCTGCCAAGGGTATTGATTATGGATCCAAGTTAAATAAAGTTATTGACAGTTGCAAATTTTCTCCATATATTGATGGAGCCTAACAACAACAGCGACATCATGATGTTTCCTTTTAATTCAGTGGTAAGAATCTTTCTTTTCTTCACATTGAGATGCAATCCATATTCAAGGCTGCATTTCTTGATCTTCTGCAACAAGTGCTTCAAACCTTCCTCACTTTCAGCAAGCAACTTTGTGTCATCTGCATAATGCAGGATGATTCTAACTCCAAACCTGATGCCACATTCCTCTTCACAGAGTCCGGCTTCTCAGATACTTTGCTCAGGATGTAGGTTGAATATGGAGAGAGACTAAATCCCTGACACACTCCCTTTCTAAATTTAAACCATGTACTGCTCTTTGCTCTGTTCAAAAAACAGTCTCCTGATCTAAATATAAATTTCACATGAGCACAGTTAAGTGCTCTGGGAATCTCATTCTTCTCAATGTTAGCCAGAACTTACTGTGATCCACACAAAGGCCTTTGCATAGTCAACAAAACATATATAAACATTCTTCTGGTACTCTTTACTTTCAGCCAGAATCCATCTTATGTCATCAATGATATTTCTGGTGCCACTGCCTATTAAAAATCCTGCTTGAACTTCTGGCAATTCCCTATCTATGTACTATTCTAGCCATCTTTGAATGATCTTCAGCAGGAATTTGCCTGCATATGATATTAATGGTATTGCTCAATAGTTTATATGTTCTGTTGGATCGCTTTTTGGGGGGAATGGGATCAAATATGGACCTCTTCCAATTGTTATCCAGACCACTTTCTTCCAAATTTCCTGGCATAGACTGGTGAGTGAATTCAAGTCTGCATCTGTTAATTGAAACAAGTCAATTCATATCCTATCTATTCCCAGGGCTTTATTTTTTTATTTTACTACTAGTTTATTTACAAAATTCAAATACAAATTTGAACAAATTATTTCAATTTTTTCCCCCAACCCATCAAATTGTACAACCCAAGGATTAATTCTCCCTTCCCCCTGCACCTCCATATCCCTCTGCTTCCAGCCTTTCCCACCCCTCCTGAATCCTTATACTCATGCTAAAATAATGGTTTTATACAATATTTATTCTTAATGGACTGAGTTAGTTCACTCAGCATAATGATATCCAGTCCCTCCCAAGTTAGGTAATAATTGACAAAGTTATTGCTCCTGCGTGCTGCACAGTATCCCATTGTGTGAATGTACCATAATTTCTCAATCTATTCATTTGTGGTTGGACATTTGGCCTGCTTCCATGTTCTTGCAGTGGTGAATAATGCTGCGATGGACAGTGGTGTACAAATCTCAGTTTGTGCATCAGTTCTCATATTCTCAGGATATATTCCAAGTAGTGGAATAGCTGGGCCATATGGAATTTCTATATTCAGCTTTTTGAGGAAAAGTCAAACTGCCTTCCAGAATGGTTCTACCATTTTACAATCTCACCAATGTATGAGTTCCTTTCTTGCCACATTCTCTCCAACATCTATTCTTGCTGCCCTGTTAAACTTTGCTACTGTTACTGGAGTGAGACGGTACCTCATTGTGATTTTTATTTGCATCTCTCTTATTGCCAGGACCTTATTTTTTAACAATGCCTTCAATGCAGCTTCCACTTCCTTCTTCATTACCATTGGCTCCTATTCATATGGTACTTCTTGAAATGTTTTATTGTTAGTCACTTCTTGTTTGTGTTTTGCCTCCATTTTCTTTTGATGCTCAATATTGTGACTCAAAGAGTAAATTTGTTTCCCTGCTCTCTCAGCATGAGAAATGTAGAGTGAGTTCTACCTTTTTATTCTCCATTTCGAGCTCTCTGCACATTTTGTTATAATACTTATAAATCTTAACAATAGGTTAGAAGCATTTCACACCAATGATTGAAGATCAGATGAGTTGTGAGATATTATCAAGAATATCATCCAGAAGAGAGCAAAAGATTGTTACAAAGACAGAGGAGAAAGAAAAAACTGAAAATGGATGTCAGAAGAGACTTTGAAAATTGCACTAGGGCATTGAGAAACCAGAACAAAAGGAAATCATTCTGAATTAAAGAGCTGAATAGATAATTTCAAAGGCAGCCTGAGAAGACAAAGCAAATTGTTATAATGGAATGTGCAGAGAATAGGAACTGAAATTGTCATGAGTACATAGTAACAATCTACATTATGCAGATGACACAACCCTGCTTGCTGAAACTGAAGAGGACCTGAGAAGAACTTGCTGCAGAAGGTCAAGGACTGCACCCTTCAACGTGAACTGAAGCTCAACAACAACAAAAAAACAAAGATTCTTACCACTGGGCCAATTGGAAGCATCATGCTCGTGAAGAGACTGACAATGTTAACAGCTTTAGTTTGCTTGGCACTTTTGTTACCAGCAGCCAGAAAATTAAAAGATGTGTTTTGCTGGGAAGGTCTGCTGTTAGAGACCTCTCCAAAGCACTGAAAAAAATTATGTCAGTCTGCAGACTAATGTGCACCTGATTGAGGCCATAGTTTTTTCCAATTACTTGTTATACATCAGAAAGCTGGACAATGACCAGGATTGATGCCTTTGAGCCTATGGTACTGAATATGAGTACCGAATATACGATGGACTGCTAGGAGTACAAAAAGGTTCGTCCTGGAGAGGGTGAAGCCAGGCTGTTCCTTGGAGGAAAGGATTCTGAAGCTTCATCTGATGTACTTTAGACATGCTGCAAGACAGGACCAGTCCTTGTAAAGGGATGTCATGCTTGGGAGTGTACAGGGACAATGCAGGAGAGGAAGATCCTCGATGAGATTAATTGATTCAGTGACTGGAGTGATGACGGTAGATATGTCAGAGACAATAAGATTAGCACAGGATAGAGCATAGGGTCACTATGAGTAGCAGGTGACTCGACGGCACGTAGAAACAACATATTAATAAACTTGAAAAATTTTCAACTTATTAGAGATAAAGAAGAGTTATATTTATTGACATTCTATTCATCTTCTTCTTGTTGACTGCCATCGAGTCAAGTACGACTCATAGTAACCCTATGAACAAAACACCTGAAGGCTTTCTGTAATTATCGTCATTTCTCAAAGTTCATAGAGTTTCCAGAGGCACGTTGTTTAGGAAGTGGATGCCACTCCTGCTTCCAATGAGACTTAGTCTCTCCAAATAAGTATCTTTTGGAAACTATGTTTATCACTGTCAATACAGGAAGAGTTACCTGACTTTCAGGATCAAGGAGAGGAGTTGGGAGGGATATGGTGAAAATATGTCTTAGACATTTTTTTCAAGTCCAGCCTGAAAACATATTTCTATGAAAGATGTATGCCAATCAGTGAGTCACTTCACAAGTAAGAAGTCACTGTAATTCCAGAGGTGGCCTTTTAAGCTGGCATGCATTATGTACCTGCATTGAAGAGTTGAATAGCTGAATGTTTATTATTCTTCACATAGGGATCAATTTTCTTTTGGTGGCTGCTCATGAAATTGGCCATTCCCTGGGTCTCTTTCATTCGAATGACCCTGAAGCTTTGATGTACATGTTCTACAAGGATCCCACAGAACAATACCAGGTGCACCTTTCTCAAGATGACGTGAATGGCATTCAATCTATCTATGGTGAGTGATATTGCAAAAGATAAGGTGTGTAATGCTACCAGAACACATAACAATGGTGATCTTAAGCATTAATTGTGGAAACTTGAAACACTACCTGAAATTTCAAATGCTTTATAAGCATAGCAATTAACACAGAATCCAATTTTTTCCAAAATTTATATTCTTAAATCTCTTCTCTTTAGGACCTCCATCTTCCTCCTCTGATAAAATCGCAGTGCCCAAGGAATTCATTTCTACACAATCTGAGCCACTAGTGAGGTGCGACCCTGAATTGTCATTTGATGCTATCACTACGATCAGAGGGGAAACTCTTTTCTTTAAAGACAGGTGAGACTGGAAAATTGGGATTATTTTCCCTTATTTATTCTGTGGAGAGGTGTAATGTTAATCCAAAAGCCATGGCTCTTTGGCAGTTTGAATTCACCAGCGGCTCCCAGGGTGAAAGATAGCCAATTTCTTCTGTTGCAATTGACATCTTTGGAAACCCAATTGGACACTTAGCTATGAGTCGGTTCTGACTCAACAACAATGAACTTCTTTTTTTAGCTAAAATGCTTGGGGGTGGGGGGAGGGTAAGTCCATAAAGATGGGATATTTTATCTACTTGGTTCACTTACATGTTCTCCAAACTGGAATAGACCTAGCACACGGAATAGATGACTTGAATAATGATGAATTTCTTTAAAAAAAGCATTAAGCGCTCATATGAGTAAGTTGGTCTCCACTTTGGCTACTAAATGCAACTATGTAAATTTTTAAATTTTTTATATTTGCTTAGGACAAAACATAAGAACAGAAGCCAAAAATAGCTAAAAGACAAATCTCTTTGCATCTCTGGTATAATTTCCCCATATAGTAAATGAGCAACTACAGCTACAATTTCCTTTGTACTTTTCCATTGATGTTTAATTCACATACAAACATAAATAAGGGGTTTTTATTTTTCTTTTTTGCAATGTATGAATGACTACATCATATATATATTGATACAGGTTTTAGGATCTAAACAAAGTTAAATATTTGTTTTTGTTGTTGTGATGTGCCGTCCAGTCGCCTGTGACTCATAGCAACCCTATGCACAACAGCCCTAAACCCTGCTCTATCCTTTGTGAATCTCACTGTCTCTGACACACCTACACCGATTACCCCAGTCATTGAATCAATCCACCTCAGAGAGTGTCTTCCTCTCCTGCGTTTTCCCTCCACCCTTCTCCAAGGACTGGTCCCTCCTTGCAACATGTCTAAAGTATGTCATACGAAGCTTCAGAATCCTTGCCTCCAAGGAGCAGCCTGGTTTAACCCTCTCTAGGATAAACCTGTTCATTTTCTTAGGAGTCCATGGTATATTCAATACTCTTCTCTAACACCATATCTCAAAGGCAGCAATCCTCTTTCTATTCTCCCTAGTCATTGCCCAGCTCTCTGATGCATAGCAAGTGATTGCAAAGACCATGGCCTGTATCAGGTACACGTTAGTTAGTCTCCAGAGTAACACAATTGCTCTTCTGTAAAAAAAGTCCTACCATATATCCCAGAGTCCTAGAATCCAAGGCAGTGGATAGAAAGTGATAAGGAAAAGAATAGGCTCTGCTCCCCATCCTTACATATATCTAACGGAGAATGACATCTTCAATTAATTTTAATGTATTACAGATATTTTTGGCGAAAAACTTACATGCATCATATACCTATATTATATTCTACTTCCTTATTTTGGCCCACTCTTCCATCAAAGTTGGATGCTGCATATGAAGCCGAGACCATGGATACTGTCTTTATATTTAAAGGTGAATATTATATAAGAATTTAAGTTTTTAAAAGAAATATTGTTGCAAAAATTTCATCAGGACATGAATTTTTTTCTGTAGTGTTGAATGTTTCATGATTTTTTCATAAATCTTATTAACAAATGATCTACTGCTACTACTTAAATTACTTGTCTACATAGAACATTATTTGCTTTATTTAAATATATTCCAAGGAACTTAAATAACAAAGGAAAATGTATATTCATCAGTAGAAAAGCCTCAATTCAAAAAAATATATCATTTATCTATAGTTACAAGGCTATTTCAAAGAAAATTCTAAAAGAGTTTTACTTGGAACTTAGCAAATGGTTCTATTCTTTTTTTCTGGAATAACAAAGGGACTGGATAAGGATAAAAGGCAAACACACACTTTGTTACTTATCAGAGCTCTTGGGGCCCACTAGGTAAAGAGTTGTGCTACACAGTAACCCAGTTTATTTTTGAAGGATCAAAATATTTTTATTTGAAGGTAAGCATTATAAAGCTTTTATTGTTGTGTGCTTCTAAACCAAAACTGACCCATAGATGACCCTCTAGTGGGTTTTCAAATGCTCTTAATTGCAAGTGAGGAGACTATGTATCCTTCTTTGTGGATGAACTGGTGGGTTCAAACTTAGTGCCTTTGAAGTTTCTTGCTAGATAGTTAATATTATCACAGCAACCAAAACCTTACTGTCATGGAGTTGCTTCATCCTTATCGTAATCCTATAGGATAGAGCAGAACTTGTTGTTAGGTGTTGTTGAGTCAAGTATGACTCATAGCGATCCTATAAACAACATATCTGAACCTTGACCTATCTATCCTTGCGATCCTCACACTTCCTGACACAAGAGCACATTGCAGAAGTCATCAATCCAATTGGTTGAAGGTCATCCTCTCCTTTGCTCATCTTTCATCCTTCCAAGCATCAGTCTCTCTCTAAGGAAGAGCTCCTCCTAGAAACATGCCTGGTGTAGTGTCATCCCTTCAAAAAGCACTCCAACTGCACCTTCTCCAAGATATTATATATAATTTGTAATATTATATAATTTAGAATATTATTAAGAATATATAATATATTTTAAGAACATATATATAATTTATAATATATTTTAAGAATATATGATATATAATTTATAATACATTTTCTATATAATTTATAATAAATTATATATAATCTTGGAGAAGTTACAGTTGGAGTGCTGTTTTGGAGACAAAGGTGATGAGACTTCTTCTCTTTCTCTCTCACCCTTATTATACCACTCACTCAATAAATCCATCTTATTGAGCTTATTCCTCTCCTGCACTGTCTCTCCACCCTCCCAAGCATGATGTCTCTCTCAAAGGACCAGTCCCTCCTTGCAACATGTCCAAAGTATGTCAGATGAAGCCTCAGAATCTTTGCCTCCAAGGAACAGCCTGGTTTAACATTCTCCAGGATGAAACTGTTCATTTTCTTAGCAGTCCATGTCATTCAATACTCTTCTCCAACATCATAGCCCAACTGCATCAATTCTCCTTCTATCATCCCTAGTCTTTGTCCAGTTCTCTGCCATATAACAAGTAAATGCAAAGACCATGACCTGTATCAGGTGTACCTTAGTCTCCAGACTGACAGTGTTGCTCTTCAGGATTTGGAGAGGTCTGTGACAGCAGACTTTATTATTTACTATGTGTGTACCATCAAATCAGATCTGATTGATACAGGAGAAGATTGCCCCCCCTTCTCCAGCACAGCATCTGGTGGATTCAAACCATGTACCTCTGGGATTGAAGTGCAGCTTCTTGCCACTAGGCCACGACAGCAGACTTTAACAGTGCAACATGTCCTGGCTGCTGGTGCCAAGAAAGTTGGTTGTGGAGCCAAGCAAGCTAAAGCTGTAAACAATCTCAATCTTCACCATCTATCATGATGCTAACAGCAGTGAGAATCTTTGTTTTCTTGATATTGAGCTTCAATCCATATTGAATGCTACAGTCCTTGACCTTCTGCAGCAAGTACTTCAGGTCCTCCTCATTTTCAGCAAGCAAATTTGTGTCATCTGCATAACGAAGATGCCACATTTCTCCTCGTAAAAGTCCAGCTTCCCAGATAACTTGTTCTGCATATAGATTGAAAAAGTATGGATAGGACAAAATCCTGGTGTACACCTTTACAATTTTGAACCACTTAGTGTTCCTTGCTCTGTTCTGACTACTGCCACATTAGCATGATCAAGTGTTCTAGGATTCCTATTTTCCTCAGAGTTAGCCACAGTTTGTTGTGGTACACACAGTCAAATGCCTTTGCATAATTAGTGAAACACAGATAGACACTCCTCTGTTATTTTCAGCTTTCAGCCAACATGCATCTAATATTAGCTACAATATCCCTAGTATCATGACCCCTTCTAAATCCAGCCTGCACTTCTGGAAGTTCTCTGTTGATGTGCTCTTCCAGTCATTTTAGGATAATCATCAGCAGATATTACTTGCATGTGATATTAATTATATTGTTTGATAATTTCCACACTCTGTCGGATCACCTTTCTTTGGAATGGGAACAAATATATATCTCTTCCAGTCAGTTGGCCAATTGATTGTCCTCCAGATTTCTTGGCACAACTTGGTGAGCACATCTAGGGCAGCATCTGTTAGTTGAAATAGATATATAAATTCTTTTGGCAGTCCGTGGCATAGTCGGTGCTCTTCTCCAACCCTACACCCTGAAAGCACCAATTCTTCTACTGTCATCCCTATTCATTGTCTTGCTCTCAGATGCATAGGAAGCTATCATAAAGACCATGGCCTGAATCAGACATACCTTAGTCCTCAAACTGACATCATTGCTCCTCAAAAATTTGGAGAGGTACCTAACTGCAGATTTTTCTTGACTGCTGGTACAAAGTGTATTTGTTAATTGTGCATGCAAGTAAGATGAAGTTGTTGACAGTTTCACTCTCTTCTCCATCCATCATGGCATTGTCTATCAGTCAGGTGGTAAGAATCTTTGATTTCTTAACATTGAGAAGCAATCCGTATTGAAGGCAGTATTTCTTCATCTTCTGCAACAAGTGCTTCAAGTCCTCCCTAATTTCAGCAAGCAAAGTTGTGTCATCTGCATAATGCAGATTATTGATGAGTTTCCCTCCAATTCTGAAGCCACATTCCTCTGCATAGTTTCTAGCTTCTAAAATAATTTATTCAGCCTACAGATTGAAAAGGTATGGCACACTCCCTGCCCCACTTCTGTCTTAATTTTGAACCCTATAGTGTTCTCCTGCTCTGTTGGAGCAACAGCCTCCTGGTCTAGGTATAGATTTCTCATGAGCATCATTAAGTGCTCTGGGATTCCCATTCTTCACAATGTCAGGCACAACTTGTTATGATCCACATGGTCAAAGGCCTTTGCCTTGTCAATAAAACCCAAATAGACGGTTTTTCTGATATTCTTTACTTTCAGCCAGAGTCCATCTGACTTCAGCAAGGATATCTCTGGTGCCACTGCCTCTTCTAAATCCTGCTTGAAATTCTGGAAGTTCCCAATGTATGTACTATTCTAGCCACCTTTTAATGATCTTCAGGAGGATTTTGCTTGCATGTGATAGTAGTTTTATTGAACAACTTCCAAAGTTTGTTTGGTTACATTTCTTGGGAATGAGAACAAATATGGACCTCTTCCAATTCATTGTCCAGAGAGCTGTCCTCCAAATTTCCTGGCATAGACATATCCAGGTTTGTATCCCACCAATTACTGGGGCATTATTTTTTGCCAATGCCTTCAATGCAGCTTCAACCGCCTCTTTCATTACCATTGGCTTCTATTTATGTGGTTCTTTCTGGAATTTTTCATTATCAATCAGTTATTTTTGGTACAGTGTCTCTGTGTATTCCCTTCATCTTCTTTTGATGCTTTCTGAATCATTCAATATATTGCCTATAGCATCTTTCAATATTGCAACATGAGCTTTAAGTTTGTTTTTCAGTTTTCTCAGCTTGAGAAATGCAGAGTGAGTTCTTCCCTTTTTATTCTCCAATTTCTGTTCTCTGAATGGAACTACTCTATCTCCAAGAGAGGCCTAGTGGCAAGAAGCTGCACTGCAATCTCAAAGGCAGGTGGTTCAAAGCCACCAGTTGCTCTGAGGGAGAAGGATGGACAATTTCCTCCCATGCACTTGACTGCCTCTGAAAACCCACTGGAGGGTCAGTTATGGGTCAGTTCCAACTCTATAGTAAACAACAAAAATGAAAACAACCATCTTCGTGGAAGCAGATTGACAAATCATGCTCTTAAGAAAGTACTAATAGTTTTGAACCACAAATCTTTCAGTTAGGAGCCCAAAACTTTAAAAATGTTGCAGTCAAACTTGTTCAATATTAGAACAAGTACAGATAAATTGATAAATTACAATTGTTGGAAATTACAGTCAGGAAATCAGAAGACAAATCTTATTAGGGAAATCTAATGAAAGAGGTCAGAGGCCTCTCCAGAATGCTGAAGAAGAAAAATGTCCATCTAGAGATTAAGGTATACCTGATTCAGACCATGGACTTCACTATTACTTGCTATGCATCAGAGACCTGAACAAAGACCAAGGATGACAGAAGAAGAATTGATGCCTTTGAGTTGTGTTGCTGGAGAAGAATATTGAACATACCATGGATGTCAAGAGAACTAATAGGTCTGTTATGGAAAGGATGAAACCAAGCTTCTCCTTGAAGACAAGAATTTTGAGACTTTGTAGCCAGAAGGGGCCTATCTTTGAAGAAGAAAATCAGACTTGGATGGGTCAAGGGACAGCGCAGAAGAGGAAGACCCTGATGAGATGGATTGACACAATTACCAGCGTAATGAGGGTAGGTCTATCGGACACAGTGACATCGGCTCAGAATAGAGAAAGGTTCAGAGCTATTATGTAAATTGTCACTATGAGTCCAAGACTCTCAATGGCATGTAACAACAATAATCGTAATTTCAGTAAAAGTTTAAAATTTAATAGAACTATTTACAAGTCTCTTT